AACCTGCCACCTTAGGTGTACGTGGCTGGCGCCTTAGCCGGTTGAGCTATAGGCGCCGAGCCTATTTCTCAGATCTTTGAGGGCTGCAAGTTCTTTCTCAGTGTGTTAAAATCTTTGGTGATTGTGTCTTTGAATTCTTGAGACAACTTTTGAAATGCTCATGAATTTCTAATTCCAAATTTATCTCCATTCTATTAATCTTATTTGCAATCCAAATTCTGAATTCGATTTCTGACATCTCAGCCATCTGTTTATGAATGGGATCTTCAGTTGTGTCTACCATGTCATTCCTTGGGGGAGTTGACCTACTCTGGTTATTCATGTTACCCGAGTTTTTCCGCTGATTCTGCCCCATGATTATTTTACACCGTTTGACTAGATGAGCAGATAAGGTGAAGTTGGGTTGGGGGCTCCTGGAGTAGTGATTAACCAGCCCTTTGCCCAAGAGCTGGGACTGGTGTCTGTACCTTTTCCCCTAGAGCTTTGCACAGGACCCATACAGTGCTATGGCCTGAGAAACTGGGGACCTGCTTGGTGTGGTGGGGCTAAGTGGCTCTGTCTTGTTTTCAGCTAGTCTCTGTCCTACCCTAGTGAATCAGTTACTCTGGGTTAAAGTCTCAGCTATGGAGAAATACCAGCAATTAAGTCACCCCGCCCCGCCATGGGCAACAACTGGCATGAGCCACCACATCACCACCACACTCAGCCCAGTTTTGCTTTTATAAACAGTGCTGCAGAGAATAACCTTGCATGTAGATTCTTCAGGCATCTTTGCCCACATTTCTTTTTTATTTTGGGGGGGGGACAGAGTCTCATTATGTCACCCTCAGTAGAGTGCTATGGTGTCACAGCTCACAGCAACCTCAAACTCTTCGGCTTAAGTGATTCTCTTGCTTCAGCTTCCTATTCTTTTTTTAAATTTTATTTTGGGTTCATATGATGGTACAAACAACTAGGTTACAATATTTGCATTTGTTGGGTAGAATCCCTCTTGTAGTTGTGTCCCACACCCAAAAGGTGTGCCATATACCCTTACATTGTGCTTATAAAGTGGAAGCAAACCAGTCCCCTCCTCTTCCCTACACCCTTTGCCCTTTCCCCTACTTGAATTTATTTATTTATTTATTTATTTATTT